CGTGACTTGCTGCACCGCCTGCGCCGCCGCAGCCGCCGCTATCCTCTGCATCTTCTCTCGGGTCATCGCCACCATTTGCTGGCCGGGGGCTTATATAGCTGCCTGCGATGGCACTCCTCCTTACGCCATCGCTCCTCCCTGCCCTTGTGTTGGATCTGGTGGCGGTGGTGGTGGCATCGCCGCCGTTGCTGCTGCGCGAGCCTCCTGGGCCCGACTGGAGCTGGCATCTCCCCCGGGAATCTCCGTCGTCATTCCTACACCTTGAAGGATAGGTGCGGGAGTAATCGGAGTTTGCGATGGGCCGGAAAAACCCGGAGGAGGGCCGTGCCCCAACGGCCTGGTCGTCGTCCAAGTTTCGTCGAACGTTGACTGCAAGTTTTTAGGAATTCCGTCCGCCATAGCTGAGCTTCAAACACAACTTTTTGAACAAATAATTCCCAAAGACGGCGCCAATAATGCAAGCGTGAGCGTCTTGATCCGGTTTAGAGTAGATCGGTTCTTGTCCTTGCCGGTAGAACACCGGAAACCTGCAAATAACTCTCACACTGGGGGTTGGGTCCCGTGAAGAGCCTCCGATGCTTAAGTCAGTATGTGTATGAGTATACTGGAATTGAATAATGAATAGAGTGTGGTTTTTGGGAGAAAGGCTCACCCCCTTTATATAGGGGTGAGATACCTGCCCTAATAGCTGCCCGGATAAGGATGAGTTGGCTGTCCGGGCTGCCCGTCCGTACTCTGACACGCCGCGCACATGTCAGAGGTGGTGCCAGGCGTTGGGGGCTGTCAGAGGTAGTTATCGCTATTCCTCAATACATTCTCGACACGTGTCCCCTGCACATGGGGTAAATATTCTCTTGGAATTCAGCTGGAAGCTCTTACACGCGCCTGTGACTAGGCCGATCTGTTTGAACATTGAGTCCGCGAGATGTTTGACCTGCTGAGGTCGATAGGATTACTCGATCTTTCATTCGGTCCAGCGATGGGTTGGTCGACTGTGTGACTGGTCGACGAGTTATTTTGCTCGATCTTCTCCTCGTTTGGTTCGATTCCTTCACGGTATGACCCTCTAAACCAGTTCGGCGGACCGGTTTAGCCTTGTGTATATAATATCCCATATCACTTACATAATACATTTATAAATCAAAAGTTATTTGGGCATTTAGATTGATAATGTAATAAAATGTTTGCGTAAAATAAATTCAATTTTTAGATGTTACTGTTGAATCATTATCCAACATTGGGCTAATATGTGAAATAATTATTGTATTGTGGTTGTCAAATAAAGAAGCTCAAATAAAAGTGATCAGTTAAGTTTTAAATTATTGGGTTTTAAAGTATCAATAAGATGTGAGCCTTTAATGTGTAGAAACTAATGAGTCTTCTATTTTAATGATGGGCTAAAATACAATGTAACTTAATGTACATAAGGGTTGTGGTCCCTAGGTCATACGTATCGATTAGTTACTCTTCTGCATCCCATCGTCAGAGAGGTTACAGAGAAAAAAGTTAAAGGGTTATCTGAAAAGTTACACGACGTATAGACCTAGAAGGCCAAATTCCCAAATCAATCACCTATAGATTCAGGTACGCTTCCGCTATTCAATCTCGATTCTCAATTATTCGATATTAAAGCTCCTGGATCAAAGCGATGTATTTCACATAAAGTTAATTCCAACAAGTGGTATCAGAGAATCTTCATATTGGATTTTTTTGGGAATCAATTTATTTTTGATCCATACGTGAAATCCGATTTTTCTTTCGCTGTGAAAAGATCATTTATCGCATATGTATGTAAGACTGATTTTGGATATATATGTTTGGGATTTGTGACTATGCAGTATATATCAGTTTGGATTTATTCTTTAATCCTGCGATAGTTTTTAAATGTGGGAATCCGATATTTTTATGCCAATTGGATATAATTGACCTGCTTCTAGCCTTTTGGAAATGCAATAATTCAATTGGACATTTGAATATGATTTATTTGCAGAGATTGAGAATTGGACTCGTGGTTATTTGGATTCACTATTTAGTTTCAATTGTTTTGCCTTGTGAGTCATATTCTATTTGGATTTATTTGCGTGGCTTGAATTACTACTATGTGAATTAAAGATTAACTGACTAAGCCTTAAGTCAAATGTTTCGGTCTTAGAATTTTTAATTTTGGATTCGAATATTGGTATAAAGTTTTATATATTTTGAGATAGATTAATTGAAGCAACATGTCGCCAAAGCGACCTCTTTTGTGAAAATTAATTTGTTTTGAAATATAAAAGGATAAGGGTGCATGTAATTTGAGTGAGTATTAACCGGCCCAAAGGAAGAGGAGTACTCATTAGAATTAGTTGTGCTATTGCGGTAATAAACGGTGTGATAATTATTTGGTTATACATGTGAACAATAAGTCGGCCCAAAGGAAGATTTATTGTTTGATATGTTCTTAGTGTCAATGTTTGATTACTGCATCAAGATGTCAATTACAAGTTAATATTTTGTCCAAAGATAAAATATTAATGGAGTTGTGATGTCTTGAGATGGGGTTACCTTTATTTGAATTTATAATTTTAATTCTAAGTAATTTTCGTGAGCATGATAAGTTTATTTTTCTTTGGATTCAGCTATGTCTACATCTGCTAATATCACTGTCAGCATTAATTCCATTCCTATGCTAAATGTCTCAAACTTCAAGGCATGACAAGATAATCTTTTAATAGTTCTCGGTGTCATGGATCTCGAACTTGCGATAAGGACTTATTCTCCACCTCCTCTTACGGATAACAGTTCTTCGGATGAAAAGAGGGACTTTGAAAGGTGGGAGAAATCGAATCGCATGTGTATGATGATCGTAAAGAAAGCCATTCCAGAAGCATTCAGGGGCACTATGTCTGAAAATATCGTTACTGCTAAGGAATTCCTTGCAGATACTGAGAAAAGGTTTGTCAAGAACGAAAAGGCTGAAATTGGTACGCTTTTGGCAAATCTTATCTCAATGAGGTATGGTGGTAAAGGTAATATTAGAGAATACATTATGGAGATGTCTCATACTGCTTCAAAATTAAGAGCACTTAAGCTTGAACTCTCTGAGGGATTGCTAGTGCATTTGGTTTTGTTATCTCTTCTGGGACAATTTAACCAGTTTAAGGTGAGCTATAACTGTCAGAAAGAGACTTGGTCTCTGAATGAGCTCATCTCATACTGTGTCCAAGAAGAAGAAAGGTTGAAGCAAGATAAGACAGAAAGCTCTAATATTGTCTATACTTCCAAAAATAAGGGCAAGGGAATAAAGAGGAATAAGGATAAGGAAGTGGCAAATACAGTCCCACAAAAGAAACTACAACCGACACCCAGTGTGTCTAATGATGTCAATTCTGACACCACTTCAGGTTGTTTCTTTTGTAAGGCTGAAGGGCATACAAAGAAGCAGTGTGCCAACTACCACGCTTGGCGTGCTAAGAAAGGTATGTTGTTTAATTTGGTTTGTCCTGAGGTTAATTTAACTTCGATTCCTGGACACACGTGGTGGATAGATTCTGGTGCCACAACTCACATCAGTGTGTCCATGCAGGGTTGCCTCCATTGCCGAAAACCAAGTGATGGTGAAAGATACATCGATGTGGGTGACGGCAAGACAGTTGAAGTTGAAGCAATTGGAAAATTTAGATTATTGTTCAAGACTGGATATTATTTGGATCTTGATGAGACATTTGTTGTTCCGCCTTTAGATGAAATTTGATTTCTTTTTCTGTTTTGGACAAATTCGGTTATTCTTGTTCATTTGGAAGTGGAAAATTCAGTTTGTTTCATGATTCAAAATTGGTTGGTTCTTGTTCTTTATCAGGTTATGATAATCTTTATTTACTAGATACTATTTCTTCATTCAACGAATCTCTGCATTTTATGATCAAGAGGGTATAAGTTTTATGATCCCATAAATAAGTCTATTTTTTAGTCTGGAAATGCTCGGTTCTTTGAGGATGTTGAGTTTGCGGGTGGAGATGTTGTAAGAGACATTGTCTTTGAAGAGGAATATATTGATATTCCTATAGGTGTTGTTAGCATTGATCCGGACTCTGCTCGCTGTTGATGACACAAATCAGGACAATGTCAGAGAACCTCCTGTTGAACAAATTCTACAACCTCAAGAACCTGTGCCATTAAGAAGATCCACGAGAGAAAGAAGAAACGTAATACCAGATGATTATATTGTGTTTCTCCAAGAAAATGAGGTTGACATTGGAATGATGGAAGATGATCTTATCAACTTTCATCATGCCATGGAAAGTTCATATTCTCAAAAGTGAATAGATGCCATGAATGAGGAGATAAAGTCTATGAGTGACAATGACATTTGGGAACTCGTCCCATTGCCAGAAGGTATGAAATCCATTGGTTGCAAATGGATATTTAAAACCAAGAGGGATTCAAGAGGCAATGTGGAAAGATTCAAAGCTCGTCTTGTTGCAAAAGGCTTTACACAGAAAGAAGGCATTGACTATAAACAGACTTTCTCTCCAGTTTCTTAGAAAGACTCTTTTAGGATTATAATGGCACTAGTGGTGCATTTTGATCTTGAGTTACATCAGATGGATGTAAAGACAGCGTTTCTCAATGGCGACATTGATGAGACTATTTATATGGTGCAACCAGAAAACTTTGAGTCCAAAGACTGAAAGAATATGGTTTACAAACTTAAGAAATCCATCTATGGGCTCAAGCAGGCATCTATACAATGGTATTTCAAGTTTCATCAAGTGATTATCTCATTTGGTTTTGAGATGAACTTGGTTGATGATTGTATACACCATAAGTTTTGTGGGATTAAGTATATATTTCTGGTTTTGTATGTCGATGACATCTTTCTTGCCAGCAACGATATAGGCTTACTGCACGACACCAAGAAATTTCTAGCTAAGTATTTTGAGATGAAAGATCTTGGTGTTGCCTCTTTTGTGTTGGGAATAGAAATACACCGAGATCGCTCTCGGGGTACATTGGGCTTATCACAAAAGGGCTATATCGAAAAGGTTCTCAAAAGGTATGGCATGCAAGACTGCAAACCAGGAGATACCCTCGTTGCTAAGAGTGACAAGTTTAGTCTCAAACAGTGACCTAAGAATGATTTTGAGGAAAAGGAAATACAGAAGATCTCTATGCTTCGGCAGTAGGAAGCCTAATGTATGCCCAAGTGTGTACGCGTCCAAATATTGCGTAAATTGTGGGTGTGCTTGGCAGATATTTGAGTAAGCTGGGGTTAGAACATTGGAAAGTAGCCAAAAGGGTCTTGAGGTACTTACAGAAAACAAAGGATTACATGCTCATATATCGGAGGTCGGATCAGCTTAAGATCGTTGGATATACCGACTCTGATTTTGCTGGATGCCGAGATACTATGAAATCTACTTCAGGCTATATTTTTCTGCTCGCTGGAGGAGCTGTGTCTTGGAAGAATGCTAAACAGTCCATTATAGCCTCTTCTACCATGGCTGTACCATGTTATGAGGCGTCCACCATGGAGTATGGCTTCAAAATTTTGTCACAGGGCTGTGCATAGTGGATGGTAATGAAAGACCACTAAAGTTAGTTTGTGACAATAAATCGGCTGTGTTGTACTCCAATAACAATAGGAGCTCTTCGAAGTCAAAACATATTGACATCAAGTTCCTAGTTTTTAAAGAACGAGTTCAAAGTGGACAGTTCTCTATTGAACATATCGGAACAAACTCCATGATTGCGGATCCGCTTACTAAGGGGTTGCCACCCAAAACGTTTCATGAGCTTACTGCTCGTATGGGTTTAATGCCTCTAATAGATATTCAGTTTTAGTGGGAGGTTGTAATGTTCTTTGATATATATATTTTATGTTACTTCAGTTTTATGGATATTTTGAGGTTATTTCTGTAGAATTTAAGTTTCAGTTATTTCACACTTTGATTATGGAATATGGTTGATCTTATTTAAGTTTAAGGTGGACCAAGTTGGAACATACATGTGATGGTCACATTTCATGTAGTTTCCATACTACACATCCACATCATAATTCATGTCATTCATTTGTATTGACATTGTGACCATTGATGGTTGAGTTGCAATAAATGCAACAAAGTCCGCTTTGATCCTATGTTGATGTGATTGATGGACCGGATTGGTTAATGATACTTTTGGTTATGACAACAAATTTGAGCTCATAAGGTTATTTAGCAATACATAATTATAAAGTTACACATATAGCCCAAGTGGGAGATTGTTGGATCATTAATCTAACATTGGGCTAATATGTGAAATAATTAGACAAAATTGCATTTTTGGTCCTCTTGCTTTGGCCTCGTGGCAATTTTCGTCCTGAGATCGGAGCATTTTCTTATTTAGTCCTGTAATTTTAAAAGTCAACGCAATTTCAGTCCTTCCGGCGCCCAAAAGTCAAAATTGTTGCCAGATTTGTGACGTGGCCCGCACGTGACGCCATCATGTCCGATTTCCTCTGACTTGGCATGCAAAAACGCAGACGAGGCAACAAAATCATATAAAAAATGGCAACAAAAAACAAATTACAAAATCCACTTTGCAATTTTGTAATTTAAAAATAAAAAAGATATAAAACCCGCACAGATCAAGAAATGCATTTCATATACTTTATAAATCCTAAAATAATTAATACTAAACAAATGTCTATAATAAAATCAATATGGTAAACTAGGAAGAAAGATGAAATTAAAAGGAATATCACAAATTTATAACCAATTCTGAATATTATTTTCCCCATCAATTTTGTTTTCAGAACAAGAAAAAAAATTGTCACCTCCCCACCTTCTGAATATACATCGTTCCCAGAACAAACAAAAAAAA